TTATCTATAAGAATTCAAAAGCCTGTAAGAAAGCTTTAACTTGACCAAATTATAATCTTACAGATTTTCCACCAGGATTTAGACCTGTGTAAAATGTACAGGAACATCTGTGCGGAGTATGGGTTGGGAACACAAAGGTCAAAGTGGGAAAAACCTCCAAAGACAATGAGGAGCCAAGATCCTGCCGGACTTCCAGATACAGGCAGACCGAATGGTATTGGCAAACCAACCGGACATTGTGGTGGTGGACAATATGCAATATGCATTCAGTGATGCCTGTGGTCATTGGGATACTTGGGTTAGTGAGCCCCAAACTGGAGGAGTGGTTACAGCAGATCCCTGGAAGTACATCAGACATCTCGGTCCAGAAGAGTGCAGTTCTAGGAACAGCTCGGGTCCTCTACCAGAGGACCCGAGCTTGGAGGAAAAAGGGGGGGAAGACCACCCACGATGGGTGAGGAAGATATATTAGCGTTGCGCCAAAGCAATTTTTTTTGCCCCAATACCAATAACTGATACCTGGATGTGCAGTATTGGCCGATGCCGATACCGTACAGATACCATCTGTTTGAACTTGATGTGTGTGCGTATATACGAAGAACTGCATACTACTTGCCATCATGGCTTTGTCAAGTTGCTGCCTACCTTTGTGACGCAGGAAAAAGTTTTTTGTTGCCTACTTGGAATGGGTAACAATAGTTGAATAAACTTTTGGCTCTCAAAATGGTATCGGTGCCCTGTTTGTAGTTACTCGCCAATAACGATACCACCATTTTAACGCTGGATCGGGGCCCCACCCGATACTGGTATCGGTATTGGTGCAACACTAGTATATATACATGTATGTATATATATGTACACAACGACAAATATCCTAATCTTATACATGAATATCACATGAACTCATTAAATAACTGTTTCCTCTAAAGTTGCATAGTGTATATACACAGTCCTAGTTTAATTGTCTGTAAACACACACTGAAAATAATGGGAATATAAACAGAGCAAAGTGAGTGATTTATGTTTAATACTGGCTATTTGTGCTCTGGACATTTTCTACAACAGTAATGTTGGTAACTTGTTATAGGCTATTTGTAACGTCTAAATGGTTTTATTTTGAAGGCATCTCCACTGGTTTTCCGGTAATTCTGAAATGTACTTTCTGACTTTTCCCTCCCCACGTATAAAACACAATGAAACATTTTATTTTTGTCTTCTGCATTCACATGTATTTCTGACGACGCAAAAAGTAAGGAACCCTCGATAAGAAAGTAAATGTTAAACAAGATTACTACTAATTAGGAAGTATTTTAAAAGTCCCTGTAAATAAGAAATAAAAAATATGTGTATTATTTGGATACAATTTAGAAATAAAAATTTACAAGAACGAACCAAGGGAGTAGTAAAAAGATTAGAGTATTTGGCCAAAGAAAATCATAGTTTGAAAAGGACAGTGAATTGAATAATAGAACTACTAATTAGTTTAAAAGGGGGAAAGTTCCTTTGAGGTCCATCAATACAAAAAAAAAAATATATATATAGAAAGACGTTTAGAACATATTAATGTTTGCACTTTTAAATTTATTTCTATATCAGTAATGTTTAACATATAATAAAGGTGACTCCAGAAACTGCTGCTGCTTTGATGTTATCTAGAAACCTCAACATTTCCTGCAAAGATTTACTATATTAGGTAAATATATATATACAGTAAAAGCTAAAACATGTAACACAAAATGATGATATATCCTCCAACTTTTATCCTGTTCAGCTAATATTAACGTATTAAACACATTTTTTCTATATGTATTATATTATTACGATATAAAATTAACGTGAAAGTAGGGAAATTAATAAGTAATCATTTGGTGAAATAAGCTCCAAAAATGATTCACCCCACACCACCATGCTGCCTCAACATGCAAATGGATTTATTTTATCAAAAGAAGTATCACCATATAAGGGTTAACAAATGAACAGTCTTCATAACATTCTGATATATATTCACAAGAAGCATTGAAAAAAATAAATAATAAGAAGCTAATGCTTTTAAAATAATATCATGAAAGGGAGAAATTGAGAAACATAATTGGAAGGACCTTCCAAGAATGGAGTCTTAAAGGAATATTTGGAAATGAAGGAAATATAAATGATATTCACGGATTAAGGAAAGCATCGTGTATTTATCTACAGGAAATATAATAAAATTTTATACAAAATCAAAAAATAGAATTTGATGTAATGTTGCTACACACTCATGTACAGTAGGTGGCGGTATGCACCTTAAAGTTGCTTGCGCTCCGCCATAATAGAAAAGAAGAAGAACCATTTGCAGTGTGCAATGTCCAGCAGGGGTCGCCGCTTCTACAGTTTGGAGACTGAGCAACAGGAAGCGATGGAAGAAGAAGACGCGCAGCAAAAAGAGACCAACGGTTTGACGCAGTTAGTTTATGAACGCGCGCATCGGCTTGTTAACTAATGGTTAACTGTAACGGACTTTGGATGCCGCTGTCTCCAGTAGGACCGCGTTTTAAATGCAGAATCCAAAACTTAGAGAGGTCTTCTGCTCCGGTCTGAGCTTCCAGCTCAAAGCCTTTCAGGGTTCTTAAAGGGGAATGAAACACCGTTATTATCTTTTTCGATTATGAATTGCAGCTAAAAACACCCGGCTTTGTGTATCTCATAACAAGTATTTATAGTCATGGCAAGAGTCGCCGTGAATAGGTTTATAGAGATTTGTAAATATCTCCAGGAGCCCATCCTTGTCGCCAGGTTTCAACGTTTTTGCGGCGTTAAAGGGACATTTCCGGAGAAGCGGACACAGCCGGACAGCGGGCAGCAGGACTCGGGGGTTCCGGGGCTTAGGAAGAGGGTCCAGCCGAGCTCGGATGAAGGTGTGGGGAACGGAGATGCCGCCGCATCGCAGGTTAACGGGAAGCCGGAGGAGGACAGCGTCGGGCCTGATGGTCCAGTAGAGGCAGACACAGTGAGAGCGAAGCCCCTCCGGAGAAACTCTCTGACCGGGGATGTGGGTCAGGAGTTCCTGATCCACAACAAGTTCCTCTTCTACCTGTTCACCTTCGGGACGGAGCTCGGCAACGAGATGTTCTTCATTGTGTTCTTCCCCTTTCTCTTCTGGAATGTCGACGCGCTGGTCAGCAGGAGGCTCATCGTGGTTTGGGCCTGGAACCTGTTCGTGGGACAGTCCACTAAAGACATGATCCGCTGGTCCAGACCAGCCTCCCCTCCTGTGGTGAAGGTGGAGGTCTTCTACAACTCCGAGTACAGCATGCCCTCCACGCATGCCATGACGGGGACAGCCATACCTTTCTGTATCTTCATGCTGACCTATGGACGGTGGCAGGTCAGTATGTCTGTGTTCATGCTGCTATCAGGGGTCTGTATGTTTCATTCACAGGAGGAGGCAGCGTTGGATGAGGGGACTGCTGAGAGCAAATGCTCCAGGGAAGGAGACAGCTGAAGGTGGATAATGCCAGAAACGCATCAGGGAGCCTGTAGACACGCAAAGGCCCATCAAGGCTCCAGGTTCAGAAACTGCTGAATGTGTTTTTTGGCCTAAAACCATCAGCTGACTAATCTGGTCAGGGATAAGTTCCCCTTTTCCCGCTGACATTTCCTGATTTTCTTGACTGTTTTTTTTATGTTTATTTAGATTAATAACACTTTATGCATAACATTTTCTATCCAGAGATGTCCCATTATTTCTAAAGTCAGTCTTCTTGCTCAACTTTGATGGTGATTGTTGTGGCAAATAAAGGACAACCCTTTTTTTCTATTCATCTAATGTTTCAAAACAAAAGCCACAATGATAATTGGTCTATTAAGTGCACTTTGATGCATTTTACTTTTACTTTAGGGGAAATAAGGTAACGGCTCTGATGCATAAACAGGGATAGTCGTGGTACTTTTTCCATTTTCTGTTATATTTAAAGCTCATACCTGTTATTTTATTTTTTGTCTATTTGATTCTTTTGAGAATCATGAAGTCAGACTTACAGGAAAAGCCTGATTGTTTATCTCTAATCTCTAACCCAAATTTTTATTAAATAGATCCTTACAGCCTTACAAAGTTTCAAAAGGACTTTCTGACACCTATTTTGAAAAAAGTCTTAGTTGATTTTATTTCTTATCTTACTTTCTAAGGGTTATAATTTATAATGTCTATCGATCTAGTCTCATTTGTTACGGTTCCATGTTAAAAATCTGACCACTGTAGAAATATTTGCAATAAATGAACAGATTTATTCCTATAACTGATTCTTAGCCATGACTTAAACAAGGGTTAAGGGTTGTTTCTAAATGCTAAAAAGCTGCAAACAGCTCCACAATTAAAATCTTGTAGATGTCTCTTCAGTTTGTGCGCCTATTTATTTTTTTTACACACCCAAATCTTCTTTCTTCTTTTCACTCATCATAGTTATTACAGACAAATTAACAAGTAAAACATCAAAATTGCAATTCCGTTTATTTTTGATTGCCTTGTATGTAAATTCAGCTTATTAGTATATTTATTGCTTTATTTAATAGATTTCCAATCCCCTTGATTAGTCAGATTAAGACTGTTTTTAGTGTCTGAGAATCTAATAGATTTGGGATCAAGGTGAACTGAATAAAATTAGTTATTATAAAAGGAATCCAAAGGAATCTCAATAGTCTGTCTGGTGTAATAAAGAAAAAAACATATTGCAGGATGGAGCATATTTCTCTGCAGGGCGTCCTGGCAGGGTTATCCGATTAAAACAACAGAGGATAAGAAATTTCTTTGGTGTGGAGTCATAGAACAGCAGCAGCTGAGGAGAGGGATCTAAAGGTGAAGATTAAACGATATCTTCTCATAGATATAAAAAGCTGACCAACTGGTTTTATGGCAGTGATGCAATAAGCCTTATTGTTTAAACCCATTTTTCTACAGAGGGAACGGGATTTTGAGGAAGAGAACATGTCGCAATTTTCCTGGTATTGAAAACCCTGTCCGGTTAAGTTATGTGAGCTGAGGTTTTCATAGAGGTTTAACACAATTGAAGCGCTCAGAGAAAGGAAACCTTTTTTTAAAGCCTTTTTATACACAACAAATAAAAGCAGTATGTTTTTATAGTGTTTTTTGTTTTTTTTATCATGTTCATTGTGAATAGAAATAAAGGTTTGAATGGGCTGCTTAGAAGTGAATGCAAATACAGCCACTAACATTTAGGTCCTTCATTTTAGTGGGTATATTTCCTGACATATAAACTATTTGACAAGTGTTTTTCTATTTACTGTTGCAGTTTCTTGCTAAATTATTTGCTGACATGTGCACTCGTGTTGATAAAACCCCAAGACAAGTGTAAAGATCACTCTTGTAGGAGATAGGCGAAGAGACTTAAGAGGGAAGCTTGGAGGAAGAGAAGCAAGCTGGAAAGTTATGCTTTTTTTTGGTGTAGACACAGAAAACATGCAGGGAAACAAAGCAGGAGGTCAGCCGCAGGAAGGAAGAGCTCAGCACCTGAAATCAGGGAATCTGTTCAAAATGCTTTGAACTGGACATGTCGCAGTTATGTGGGCTGGTTGAGCCCTCTCTGTGCTATTAGGTGTCCTCCATGTTCACAACTTGCATGTTGTTTCCCCCACAAATAAAGCAAATGTTATCGGCTCTTTTTATTGTTAAGACCGGCTCAAATGTGTCATTCAATATAGCTAAGCGAGTAACCAGGAATCAACTTTAGCTCAACAACACAGTTTCTCCTTTTCTCCCTCTTTAAAACTCTGAATAAGCCTATAAAAACATCTCTTTTTCGTGTATTAAGAAGTCAGTCTATTTTCATTGCCAGCCAGTCTCTGTATAGACAAAGCATTCCTATCCTAATACATTTCCAAGAAAAAAATAATTAACTTGTTTTCCTAGCCTCTCTCTCTCTGTGATAAATTTATGTTGCAGAACCGTGTGTCACCATGAATCCCTTTCATCAATCATACATCCACCTTGTAACCCTATGGAGGACCTAGAGAGTCACTAGAAAAAGAAAAACAACCTTTTCATGTTTAACATTTAAATCATGCAATTGGAAATCCAATTTAAAATGCCTTTTCTGATTGCACATTTTAAATTGAATTATTAAAAAGGAATGTAATTTTGTATTTTATTATTATTATTCTATTATTAAATAAAGGGATTTAAAAGATGTCTTTTCAAATCCTATGTCTAAATTAAGATAAAAAAAAAATAACTCTGATTATGAATATATTTCCTCGTATCATATTTAAAAGAATAATTCCTTCTTTCATTTTCTTTTCCAACTTATTTTTTAAAATCCTACTTATTACTTCCCCTCTCCGTTTATATTTCCTGTGAGCTATCTGGTCCCTAAAAACCAATCACAGATGCTCCTCAGATGTTGCCAGCTCTCATTTTTTTTTTTTCTGTTTTTTTTTTTTTGAACCAAGTGTGGCAGTCTAACCAATGAGAGAGCTGGCTACATCTGAGGAGCAACTCGATTTTAAGATGCCCGTATTTAATAATGGATAAGTAAATAAAATTTACAATTCCTATTTTAATAATTCAGTTTACAATTAGAAATTGCTTTTCAAATTGGATTTCAAATTATGAGATTTAAATGTCAATTTTATTACTGTTTTTCTGTTTGAGTTACTCTTTAGGTCCTGAATAGTAACCCAACCTGTTGCAGACCGTTGTTAACATCATTTTCCAATTTATAAACAATGGATTATATTATATTTTTTACAATCAATGTGACTGAAACAAGCTTTAGGTTCTATTTATAATGTCGGTCTACGTCCATAAATACACATTGTTTGGCACCGATCACACATTCCAATAGTTTAAAATAGGAAATATTTTATTTTTTGTATTTTTTAATTTTCATTTTTTTTAATAAAAGTTTTACAAAATTGGAACAAATTAGAATAAACACTACATTATCATTGGGTCCTTTAAATTTTCTTCAAAGGATTTCCTATGTTTTTTGTGGGCTTCTAAAGGTTAACTTAATGCGAAACACCACCTAATTTTTGCCAAGCTTTTATAAACAAGCGATGACTCGTGGTTCCTTTTAAAGTTCGAATGCTGATGTTGCTCATTTGGATGAATGTGCTGCAGAATGAAACCAGTCTTACCTCCCCTTTCTCTCAGTGACCTTTTCTATAGTTTCTAAAATGACAGGAATTCAACAAATATCCAGAGTTTTGCATTACCAAGAGTTTTATTTAAAAGTTCCTCCCAAGGACAGACAAATGAGCGAATGGCAATAAATTAAATTTTGTTGCATTAGCATAGCTGCTGTTCTGGGTTCCTCCTATTGTTGTTGCTGCCCTTCAGTTTTTCTGCTAGGATTCGTCAAAAAAAAAGCTCAATATGTAATATTGTAATAACACTGTAAGATATAATACTGTAATAAATATTTGCTGTAATAAATATTTTAATTTCTATGGGATTGCCTATTCAAGAATCAGCTGTTTTAACCGCCATGCTCTCTCCTCCAGTACCCTTTCCTTTTTGGCTTCTGCCTGGCCCTCAGCTGGAGTGTGCTGGTCTGCGTGAGCCGGGTCTACATGGGCATGCACTCTGTTCTGGTAAGCACGATTAATAATTGAATTCAAATGAAATTGAATCCCGACACCTCCGGCGTCTCATATCACCTGCTTCCAAGTTAACTGATAACTTTCAGGTGTGAATATCTGCTTGCACAACTTAACTTGCTCCTTAGGTGGTTGTAAATGATAGAATCATATCAGTTTCATAACTGTATAAGATGGAAGATGTGGATCTGCTTCAGCTCTCACGGATGACCCACCACAGCTCATTGATTTGACTTTAGATGCATCATATTCCTAGGAAAAGTTGAGAAATTTGACCTCTACCTAAGCTTGGTTTATGATGACATCAGATTGGCATGCATGCACAGTACCTTGCTGTCTGCTGATATACCTTCAGCATCAGGGAAGGTTGTGCATAGGGGTGTAAATAATAGTCGTTTTGTATCGATGCATCGATCCCACAGCCAACAATCCGATGCATCAACACGTCCGCAAGAGTACCGATTCATATTTTTTTCCCCCTCCGGCCTATTTTTATCCATTTGCTCCTGGACGTAATTCTGACTCCTGTGCAGCGGTAGAGCTAAAGCTGTTATGCCCTCCTACCTCACTTCATTTACCCATTACCCTCTTTCCTCTTGTAGTATTTTTTGATACAAGGCCTTTGAGAATCTATAATGCAGAGGCATTATTATTTTTCAGTGAATGAGGTTTTCATATGCCTAGGCGGAGTACAACTTTACTACCTCTGTTATTTGCTGTTGTTTCTCAAATACTTTGTTTAGCCTGTAAGGTAAAAAAACAAACAATAAATCAAATTGAATCATATCGTGGTGTATTCTTAAGTATCGAAAACAGTCGAATCAGGAAATTTATACTGAATTGAATCACCATGATGGGTGTGATTTACACCCTTAGTTGTGCATGCAGGTTAGTGTTTCTCACTGGATAGAAACTTTGGAATGACAGTTGTTACCTTTGTATAAAAAAAACTTCAGAAATAGAAAGAAAATACAAAAATCAACCATTACTCCTATGTTTTATTTCTACAACCTTTTTAGGAGCTTTTTCTGTTGTGGAGGTTACTGTTCTGGTAGTCGTTTGACCTGCTTTTAAGGAAAGCTGTACTTACAGCTCAGTATTATGATTATCTCAAGCTGTGAGGAAGCAGGAACCTCACACAGAGTTCTAGTTTTTCTCTTTGCTTTAGGATCGGCACATTATATCAGATCAACAGCCCCTGTGGGCATATAAATGTGATTTAACTGCATATGACTGCTTAGATGTGATATTTGGAAGGCTGTGATCCCGCTCTGGCTGTCAGTAATGTGTTTGTCTCGTTTAATGGGCTTTCACTGCTCTTAATACCCAAGCCTGATATAGATTTCAGTGACTGAGATGCTAATGCTAATAGAGTGGTAGTGACATTGTGCAGATGGAAAACAGACGAGAGCGAACAAAATGATGCGTCATGAAAATATTTAACAGAACTGATCGCACATTTAGTTTAAATCGTTTTTTGTTTTGATTTAGCGTGTATTACCTGACAGCCAAGAATCGGTTTAAATAAAAATAACTTTTTTGTAACCGAGAATTTTCTTTAGCAAGAAATATCTCCATAATTAGACTTGTAAATATCTTTTAACTTCTTGCTAATGACATGGGTTTTTTATGTGCCAACATATTTAAATCATAGATAAAAGTCTTTATAAGGGAGGAAAATGAAGTATTGATTTTATTAAAAAAGTTTTTGTTAACATGCTTTTTGGTTAGTTTGTTTTTCTTTTAACTGAAAGAGTTTAATAAGTTTAAACCGGTTCCTCTGGGCTGACACGCCGCTGTTGACTGAAGGATTGTTTAATTCTCTATTGACAACAAACACCTTTCTTTCAAGTTTGTTTTTTTAGGTTAACTGAACAATCTTCATGACAAAGAGAAAAGGAAAATCTGTTCTTTACTTTCAAATCTTTCTGTATCATAATCAGTGATATAAAGACAAACTTTTTCATTATTAGTTCTGTTCATATTGTAACCCTGTGACTAATGTGCGGATTGATGATAATGCCATATTTTCTTGGAAATGTTCCCGTAACTAGAAGTGGACCATAAACATTTGACAGGCTGTAGATGATGGTATGACTTGACCGCCTGTGACCCTGCAGCTGATTAGTAGAGATAATGGTTATAATCTGTATCAACCAATAGTAAAACCGGTTTAACAGTCAGAGGATCACCTGATATTAATTTTTTTTTTCCAGAGCTTTTCCAACTTATGCTGACAGAACCATGAAGGCATGGCGCCTCCTTTAGGGCAGAAAGCATAAGTGCTTATTTATATATATACATATATATATATTTTTTTTTTCAGGCTTTGAAATATGATGCTTGATGCTCAGAAACAGCTAATGCTTTTCATTTTTTATGAGTTATATTTTTTGTTTTGCAGGAAGTAATCAGCGGCTTCCTGTACAGCCTTCTGGTCCTCGCCTTCTTCCAGCCAACCTTAGATAAGATTGACACCTACTACATGATGGACCGCTACGCTCCTCTCGTCATCATCGTGTCACACGTGAGCCTGGGACTCGTAGCTTTCTCTCTGGATTCATGGAGCACGTCTCGTGGCGACACCGCTCAGGCTCTTGGCACGGGGGCCGGAGCAGCTCTGGCTTCACATGTGAACTATCAGCTTGGGCTGCTGCAGGATCCACCGCTGTCCTCTCTGCCTCTAACTCTACCACCAATCACTTCAGGCCTGCTGTTGCGCTCGGTGCTGCGCTTCGTCATCGGAATCGCCGTTCTGCTCGCCACAAGAATGGTCATGAAAGCAGTGACTATCCCCTTCTTGTGCCGACTTTTCGGACTGCCCTCGGATGACGTGAGGCGGGCGAGACAGCAGATGAAAGTAGAGCTTCCTTACCGTTATATGGTCTACAGTGTCGTTGGGTTTAGTTGTGTCTGCTTTGTGCCTGTCCTCTTCTGGATCTTACACCTTGACTGAATATTTAGTGAAAACTCTTTGGCCTTTTTAATAGATACCTACTGCCTGTTTTGACAGAAACAGGTTGTTTCTGAGCAACAAGCAGAGTTGAAAGATACATCAGATTATATTTGGGTCTCAAAATCCAATCAGACAACCACTAAAGTAATTAATTATAGTAAGTATTATTGCAGCCAAAGAATATCCAGGAAAGAAGTTATTAAACCCCAACAATAACCTAATCTCAAGAATCTATATTAATGTGTATGTGGCCCATTAAAGCACCAATCTTTCTTTTCAGTAAGAATGATTAATCTTTAATTAAAAGGGGAAAAGTTATGGATGTCTTTAGATAAAAAATTTGCATTAATATATCTGTACCAATCTGGCTTTTCCTAACTAATAATTATTTCCCTTCAACTACTAAAAGTTGACCGATCACATTTTTTTAAAGTTTTTTTTTAAAACAACATGCAATTTAGAGATATAAAATAAACATTAAACTAATAAAAGCAACGTATATATTCCTTAATATTATCTGATTTACATTTTTTATGTATTTACAATCAGGTGGGAGTTCTCATTCAGGAAATGAATGGAAAAAATTGTTTGAAGGAAAATTAGATGATTCTAATCTTTGGGCCAATTGCTGCATCTCTACTCGTGATATACTTTTTATATATACATATATATATATATATATA